CTGCAACCGGAATTTTTTCCTTTAGTTTGTCTAAAAGGTTACAATAATATACAGAATGTGTTGTTTTACCAACGAAATTCCTTTCGCATTTCAAAAAACTGATAATAACACCTTGGCCGATTTCTGGATACGAACTCGTTTCGGAGCTGAAGAACCAGGTTCACACCACTTTTTAGGCTCATGTTTTGATTCAGGATCATGGTGAGACACGCAGTCTCGTCCATAGTGATGGATCGATGCACGACATCCACTTTATCCTCTCGAAAATGTTTTAAATGTTGATGAGAAAATCACATTCGAATGTGTGTTTGTTCCATTGTTAGTGAATGCAACACCCATTGGGAACACAGTTTTCTGAAACCCAATACTTCAATCAAAATATTGCTTACACTGCCCAATAAGATGCCTAGGGCTTCTACTAAATCTCTTTCAGTTACTTCACGATTTTCCATTTCTACGATTTCTGGTGTTTTTCCTAGTTTGGATAATTAAAAAAGCGCTTATGTAAATCCATATTCATACTGACCTTAGCAAGAACTATAATATGATATCCCACATATTAAGTGCCGGTTTCGGTATGTAGAGAGAACATGCGCAAGCTTTCCTCCCGTAGGCTTCGTGCCCACACATACACCCATAACCGCCTCGTCACAGTTAGAACCATCTCTTCTTCCGAGCGGTGCACCCGGTATTAATGCAAGATAATGCGCGACCTGTAATGGGTGCCACGTAATATTTAGAGGAAGTTGTAATAAGTAGTAGTAGAAGTAGTAATAAAATGGACGGCTAGCCAGTGTTCGCCAGATCTGAATCTGAAAGAGCACGTTTGGGACATGCTTGGTAGAAATATTAGAGGTCGCGGAGTTGCACCAGCCTCAATTAACGAACTTCGCTTGGCTCTAAAAGAGAAATGGCAAAACATCCAGCAAGATGATTAGCCCAGGCTGTTGGGGAAAAAGGAAAAAGAGTGAAAAAAAATTTTACACTGTAATCCAGGAATTTATGTAATGTGGAATAGGTTATAAAGGGCAACCTCAGAGCAATCCCCCAGTTCATTTAACGAAAAATTTTTGGTTATTGTTTATTTATGAGCGTTTATAGGTGAAAAATACGTATTTTTTGAGTTTTTTTCATTTTTGCCTTAAGTAAGTGTTGTAATGGGTAATTTCTGTATAGATTATGAAAGTACTCTAAAATACCTTCAATTTAAGCCATTATACGTTTAATTTAATTTATTTGTTATTGCAAAAATGACGAATGAAGGTCAAAATTAAAAAACGTAATATTTATTGTAATAAATAAACGTAATAAACTAAAGTCGAACAAAGGAAAAATAAACATTATTCAAGTCTATGCACCGACAGCAGAGAAAGAGGATGAGGAAATAGAAGCATTCTACAAACAACTTGAATACATTCTGGAATCGACCAAAAAAGAAGAGGTCACCGTAATCATGGGCGACTTCAACGCTAAAGCTGGTAAGGTGAAAACTGATGGATGCACGGGTGAATTTGGTCTTGGACAACGAAACGACCGAGGTGAACGTTTCGACAATTTTGCCAAGAAAAAGAATTTGTAGTAATGAACACAATGTTCAGATTACCAAACCGTAGATTGCACACGTGGACATCACCAAGAAATAATGCAGACAACATCGTCAGGAATCAAATCGATTATATACTAATCAGAAGCGGTTTAAAACTCCATCACGTCTACAAAAACCTATCCAGGCACTGATATAGAATCGGATCACAATCCGGTGGTGGCTGTAGTAAATACAAGATTCAAGAAACTACAGAAAAGTGCAGCTAAATAAAAGATAGACGTTAAGCAACTGAAAGACGCAACTATACTGGAAAGGACAAGAGAACAGGTAAACAACAATCTTAGAAACATCGCTGCAAAAAATAGGAACACAGGCAATGTAGAGAATAAATGGATGGAGATGGAAAAAGCCCTTATGACAGTTGGTGAAGACTCCTTAGCTCCAAGCAAAATTAAGAAAAAGGAATGGATGACAAACGAAATTTTGCATCTCATGGAGGAAAGGCGAAGAAATAAAACCAACAAGACAAAATACAAAGAAGTGAACCGTGAAATTAAGAGAAAAATTAGAGAAGCCAAAGAGAAGTGGGTTCTGGACAACTACAAGGAAATAGAAGAATATGATAGAAAGTACGATAGCTTTAACATGCATAAAAAGATCAAGGAAATAACAGGTAAAAAAGTGGTGAAACACGCATCCATCATAAAGGACAAAAAAGGTAAAATAATTACAGATTTAAATGAAAAACTGGCAAGATGGGCAGAATACATTAAAGAAAATTTCGTCCTTTTTGCGGACGAAAGAACAGAAATAGCAGTGGCAGAACCTACAGACGACACAACAGGGCCTGAAATCCTAAAAAAGCGAGGTAGAATATGCTATAAGGAACACAAAAGGGGGTAAAGCTGCAGGACCAGACGAAATTCCTGTACAATTGTTGAAACTTATAGACGACGACGCACTTGAAATAATGGTGAACGTCTTTAACACAATTTATAGAACAGGAATCATACCAAAGAAATGGCTCTCCTCCACTTTTGTCACAATCCCGAAGACGAATAACGCCAGAGAGTGTTCAGACCACAGAACTATAGCATTGATGAGCCACACACTAAAAGTATTTTTAAAAATAATTCACAAAAGAATATTTAATTAATTAAAAGAGGATATAAGCTCCACACAGTTCGGATTCAGAGGTGGACTGGGAACACGGGAAGCTTTGTTTGGTCTGAGTGTGTTAATTCAAAGATGTTTGGATGTAAACCAAGACCTCTACGTAGGTTTCATAGATTTTGAGAAGGCCTTCGATAAAGTCAGACACCAAAAGCTGTATGAAATCCTAAGAAGCAAAAACATCGGCAGTCGCGACATTAACATCATATCCAGGTTGTACTGGGGACAAACATCAAAAATCAAAGTTGATAATGAGTTAACCGAAGAAATTGAGATTCGTCGAGGTGTGCGTCAGGGTTGTGTGCTTTCTCCACTATTATTCAATATATATAGCGAAACAATATGTCAGGAAGCGCTCCTAGAGCAAAACGTTGGTATGAACATTAACGGAGAGTTAATTAACAATATACGATACGCTGATGACACGCTAATAGTAACAGATAACCTAGCAAATTTACAGTTTTTGATGAAAACATAAACACTCTTACCAATAAGTGTGGTCTAAAACTGAACATCAAAAAGACTAAATTCATGATTGTAACAAAGAAGCTATATACCAATGTGAATTTAACCATAAATAATCAGCCAGTTGAAAGAGTTACGTCCTACAAATATTTAGGGGTTTGCTTCACTGATACTTATAACCATACAAGAGAAATCAAGAGGCGAATAGAGATAGTTTGTCAAAATGGAAAAGTTCCTATGCAGCCGGAACATAAATATAAACTTAAGAACGAGAATGTTAAGGTGTTATGTTTTCTCCGTTCTGCTGTACGGCATGGAAGCCTGGACACTGAAAAAGATAAACATCAAAAACATTGAGGCATTCGAGATGTGGTGTTACAGGAGAATGTGGAAAATACCATGGACAGAAAGAGTAACGAATCAAGATGTTCCGCTGAATATGGGGAAGGAATGCGAAGTCATAAAAACCATACAAACGAAAAAACTGAAATATCTGGGCCACATAATGAGAGGAGAAAAGTACTCTCTGCTTAGACTCATAATCCAAGGAAAAATCTCGGGAAGGAGAAATGTGGGGGACGTACAAGGATTTCCTGGTTGCGAAATTTAAGGGAGTGGTATGGGTGCAGTTCAATACAGTTGTTCAGAGCTGCAGCCAACAAAGTAAAGATTGCTGTGATGGTAGCCAACCTCCGATAGGAGACGGTACTGCAAGAAGAAGAATATTTATTGCAAGATTGCTTTCTTATTTATTTCAAATGTATGACATTCAAGCCTATAAAATTACGAATCGAATGAGACGTAGTAGACGTAGTAGAAAAAAAATTTTTAACCCATTAAAAACAATTATTTATGAAGTTGTAAAATTGCAGTTATAAACATTTAGAGCTGCAGCGCCCCCTATGTACCCTACAAATTTCTAGTTTGCAGATTATTGTAGCTGGCTTCGAGACGAAGATTAAAAAAAAAAGAGTTTTCTCTTGGTTTGGACATAAGCTACTATGTCCTTGCACTGATGTAGAAGATAATGTGCGGTATGATTGGGGCTCAACTCTAAAATGACACAAGGGTTAAGTAGACCAACGATAACCTTCTGTAACGTGGTGGCCAAAGATGTAGCAAGTGGGAGCAATAAGATTGCTAAAGTCACAATAAAAACAACTCTTACATAATGTGATGTAGGATTAGAGGACGAGAAAAGGTTGCAGTAGAATAGGAAAAAGCCACATCATTGAATCTATTCATCTATGCAGTTATCCGTAACAATTTTCCTATTTTTCCAACATAAATTATTGTAAAGATGAAACAAATACTGAGATGAAAGTGTTTCTTGGTAAAAGTTTTTCCATCATCACCCTGTGTACTAGGAAGAGCACGAATCGCCCTGTATATAGAATCGTCCTGAACTAAAATTATGATGGGCTGATTCTATTTTAAGTATTGCGCTGCCGTCACTTAAGACACTGCGACCAATGCCACTACGTATACGACGAATGACTCCAGTTTCATTAAATTGTCACTAGAATACATACGTATGAGTCGAAGAAATGCATTCAGCAGTTTCAGTACTCTTACGGCCTTAGTCGATATCAACAATAAAAATCGGTAGCAGTAGCAGCTGTTATAATTCGGTGCTGTCTCTTCGAGTGTTCGGTTTGTAGTGTTTGCGATATCAAGTGTAAACTCTGGAGACTATTTTTAAAGTCTTAAGTCATTTCGGAGTCTGTGTGTTGCGTTTACCGGGAAGCGAATTAAACGGTTCTATTAAAAACCGAGTGCGGAGCAGAAATGTGTGGAGTGGATGTGCCGATAATATTTTATATTTATTCCTGATTACATTCTTGAGGGTTGGGAATTGATTTATATTGCTATTAGATCGAAATGTTTTCATGTAGGAATGATTTAGATGTTTCTGAACCTTACATTTCGGATCAATTGATTCGAATAACTTGTTTTATGTACATTTTTAAAAGAACAACATTTTGAAGTAAATTATTTCAAGTTGATTTTTGCTCATGCAACGCTATACAAAAATATTATGTTTTCTTGATTTTTTTCGTGATTATCTGCATTGTTAAAGATATAAAGGTTGAACGTTTGTAGAAAATATTACAAACATAATGAAAAATTCATGTTTTTATGAATAAAAATCGTAGCTGTATTACCAAACATGTGGAAAACATCAGAATGTAACTGTAAACATTTCATGCATTATAATTAAATTTGTACTACAAACACTGTTAGTTCCGTTCTCAGAGAGTTTATCCCTAAAAATTATACGAACAAGTTGAATTTTGTAGAAAATATTAATTTTGGGACCCCAAAAAGATGCAAAAAACTTTACCATTTTTACCTAAGGGCTTCCCCCTAAAACTCTCCTCGTACGGGAGTAAAAACGCAAAAAAATCGATTTACCAAGAACTTGTATGCCCTAGAAAAAAATGTTCAAATAAAAAATGTAGCCGATATAATTTTAAACAAAAATGTTAATTAGCACTTTTTCTATAAAATAAACCGTTCTCTCAGAAACAACGCTTGAAGCTACTGTCGATTTTGAATGTCAGTTACGTGCGCGAAGTCAATGTTCAATAAAATTTGTATTAGCTCGACGGTAAAAATTCGATATCTTTTGATCCAAGTGTCCTATCGACAAAAGTCAAGATGCATTGTAAAGGTAAAAAGTGCAGCTTTCGTATGCGGTTTTTGTATTTGGTCGCGAATAAACTCAGTTTTTATAAAGGTGTTTAAATAAATATACGTGGCGCGATTTTTACCATTTTTTACGATCCTCGTGAGATCAATAGAATTGATCACTTGTATTGACCAGTCGTAGTAAAATTACCATTTTTAGGGATCAATCTTTAACACCTATGGCGTGAAATTTCAATTTTGATTTGTTGTAACGAATATGAGGCATTTGAAATATGAATAAAAAACGCAGAAAAGTTTTTACAAAGTTGATTATAATTTAAAATTTTTCTTGAAGTATCACTTTTGATTATACAATTTCATTTTTTTTAACAACCTAATGATTTTGCAACAATCTGCACTGTCTAAAGCGCACTTTATATCAATTGATAGTCCAGTAGCTTGTCTTTTTGATATAATGGACAGTCTATAAAAATGTGGCCTACAGTTATTTTGGTGTCACACCCGTAGCATATTCTATGAGGTTCCTTCCTTAGTAGGTGTTCGTGCATCAGTCTGGTATGTCCTATTCGGATATGATGTAGTACAATCTAGTCCCTTCGCTTTACTACAGTTGTTGTTTTCGCTGATAGATCTGGATTTGCTTGTCGCAATTTATTATTTGGTTATAGTTGCCATCTTCGTAACCATAAGTTTTTTGTGTTCTCATTGATGCATTTTTTCATGTCTGAGTGAGGAATTTGGTTAGTTCTATCATCGGATCTCTCCCTTTTACAAGCTTCTTTGGCATTTGATGAGCTATCTCATTCCCTGTCTTTTTTAATCTGATTTAAAATCGGATGATTCGGATATATTTTCTGAATTTTCTGGATTGCACTTAAGGAATCTGTGAATATTACTGTCATGTCTTCAGGTCGATTAAGAGTTTGTTGTACTGCCTTGGATATCGCAAAAGGTTCAGCAGAATATATTGGGTAGTCCTTCTTCTTCTCATGGCGCCGTCTCCTTTCGAAGGAACCATTTTCTCAGGTCTTTCAGCCATGAGTTCTGGCGTTTGCCCTTTACTTTTCCTTCCAATATAACTTGAAGTAATTCATATTTTTCGCCTCTCAACACATGACCCAAGTATTTTCCTCCCTTTGAGGATCTTTGGGAAGTCCTTAGGTAGTGGAAACTTGAGCACAGAATCTTCTGTGACAATGGCGGATCCTACTGTTTCCAATTCGGGTGTTTTTGATGCATCGGTATAAACTAGTTGACAGGATGAATATTTATTTTTAATATTGTAGAAGTATTGCAGAAAAAGAGATGAAGAGGTATAGTCCTTAGTATAAGTTGACAGATCTGTGTTACAATATGGAATTTGTATAGTCCAAGGGGGAGCATAATCAATATTGGTATGCATAATACCCGGAAATGTGAAGTTGCTAATTCTTTTTTGATTTTGATTTTCATTAGAATGGAAATGTGTGGAGAAAGCATAGGGGTAGGCTGGGTTGTTTAGATTAGTTGATAGCTTGCTTGCGTATTGTAAACTGAGACGTAATCCTTTGCCATCCTTTAACTGTATTATTGCGGAATAAACTTCCTGCTGTAATATTATTGGTCCATCATTTACCTCTTCTTCTAGCTCAAAGGTGTTATCTCTTTGGTCTTCAAATGGTTTTTCTAGATAATCTTTCCACGTTCTTATTTTACTGTTTGTCCAAGATGATGTTACCGTCAGAATCAGTTATATTTCCTTTCTGTCTTCGTCTTAGTCTCCCTGTAAGTTCTTTAACTTTCCTTTATACATTTGACTATCGTACTTTGACTGCAGAGTCTCAATTTCTTCGCATCTTTCCCTTGCTTATTTTTCTTTCGCTTCTTTTCTTCATTAATCTATCTGTCTTTAAGTGTTTATCCTTTACATTTTGCACTATTTCTGTAATATGTTTACGGGCTTGGACTCCTATTCTCGTATTAAGGTATTTCAGCATACGTAGGTCGTATGATTGTGCTTTTCTTTTCTGTATTGTTTTGAGTTTGACTCGAAATACTTCCACCACTGGAAAGTGGTCTCCAAGTCTGCTCCAGGATAGTTCTTGACAGATGTAAAGCTGTTTCGGAATCTTTTATTTACTAAAATGTAGTCTATTTGATTCCGAATAATTGCGAGATGGTAATTGGAAGAATGTGTTGATGATAATTAGGTCTGAGTTTTCTGCGAATTTTTCTAGGAGGTCTCCTCTCTCGTTTCTGACTCTAAGTCCATGTACTCGAACGTACTGTATCTTATCTCCAGCTCCAATCTTGGCATTAAAATCGCCCATAATGATGAGAACTTCCTGTCTAGAAATTTTCTGTATGATACTGTTGATGTTCTGATATTATCTCTGTTACGTATAGTAATTCCCTCTGTAATTTTTCGGGTCCGATTTGTCTCCATTTGAAGAGAGGTATTTGCTGTTTTGTTCTATTATTTTTTGGACTAGTTTTAATAGTTGTTTGGTCAGATTTGGTTCTCTGTACTTTAGGAGTTCGTTCGGTATTCTGTCCTCTCCTGGTGATTTTCTATTTTTTAGTTTCCTTAATGGTTCCTTTACCTCTTCCTCCTCAATATTTATTTCTTCGTTTGTCGTCACCTCTGGTATTGTAGTCTACCAATGTTTCCTTCTGAAAGTGTTTCATTTTTATTAGTTCGTTCATCTTTTTTCTTTGTCCTCGGATCATTCTCCATATTTCTTTTTGTGTTCCGTAGAACTCGTATTCCATCTGTTTCATTTCTGATTCGTTTATAGTGGTTGTATATCTGTTGTGTTTGTTGTGTTCTGTATTGTAAAAAGGCTTTTTCTTCACATTTTGTCTTCAGTTCCTCTCTAAACCATGGTGTTTTCTTTTTTGATATGTTAGTGTTCATTACTTTCCTCTGTCCAGTGATTCTGTTGCTGCATTCATTATGTTATTTTTGAGTTTTCCTCAGCTTTCCTCGACGTTATCGTTTTCTAATATTTCATTCCCAGCGATCTGCTCTGATATTCTTTTTCTGTATTTCCGTAAGTATTCCGTAGATTCCGTATTTGGTCCTTCGACTTTTATTTTTGTTTGTGTTGGCGCCGCTCTCTTGGGTATGCAGTATTTTAGGATGATTCTTATTTTACAGAATACTAGGATATGGAACTACAGCTGAATCCATTGTTCTGAATTATTAGTCACTGCGTCACGGACGCAGTTACGCGAAAACTCGCGAATTTCTTACAACCAGTGGATACTTGCACGACAGAACCGTTTACCGTCTTAATCTACTTTGAATTTGGAATATTTTCATCTGCTTTTTCATTAACTTGAAGTTTTTGAGCACTTATTATTGAACATTATATTTAATACTATGCCTTTCTCCAAATTCCTCAATTCTTTATTGGCATTTTGGGTGGTTAATTGTCCTGGTGATTTTTTTCTTTGACCAGATATTTTCTCCTTAATTTTTTCCTTGAGCTGGGTAGGAATATTTGCTAGATCATTTGCCAGATAATCATTGTAGTCCTTGGCAGAAAACGTAAATATACTGCTTCTGTCATAGTAAAAAATATTCTCGTAAAAAACTGCTACTTTCGTAGTGGAAACGAAAGTGTTCCACCATGATTGAGATGCCCAACACACATTATGCCTGAAAACATAATAAATTTACTAGATGACAGATTGTTTTTTAACAAAAACAAGCAATACATCATAATTTAGGAAGATGGACGTGTCCAGTGACAAATTCCAAACAACACGTGAATTTATTTGTGTCATTTATTTATCTTGTCAGGTGTACAATTGAAGGGAAGGATAAATCGTTTTGACTACCGCCCACGCATGGTAGACGGTCAACGACGCATCTCTATTCCTGCCTCTGCGATCTTACTATTTTTCTAATTATATCGCCTGTCAAGGTTATTTTTAATTTTCTTTATTCAAAAGTACAACTTAAGAAATTTGTGGAATGCACCAAAATTTACGTCAACTTTGAATAAAATTTCCTTTTTTATTTCCAGTGGTTCTCCACTTTGACGACTTTGGTAGAGATTAGTAATCACTCTCATTCAACACTTTATTTGGTATTCGGTGAGAGTATTGATGTAAGTGTTTCCGAAAGTTCTGAAGTATATGGCAATCCAGCAAAGTGAACTAAAGTGTGAGACTAACTCATTTAGAACATATAAGTCCAGTGATATTA